CTGAGAGTCTATTTTTCCATATGTCTGGGAGTCAGTATGTGAGGCTGAGCGCTGTTGCCTAATAAACACAACACGAATTCCCATTAGAAGCCGACTAATGGGCGCTTCAAGTGCAATTTTCTGTGTGTGTTAAATGAGTAAGTTGAAAACTTCGCTGTTGGAAGCTCTCTGGTGAGCAAGGGGATATTACAAAGGCCTTTGGACGAGTCATGGTGTAGATGATAGCGCCCTAAAGGAAGAAACGATGCGATCACAGTGCCCCGCCACAGGGTCGCCTTATCTGCTGGGTGCAGGGCTCCGCCGAGCCCATTCGAGGTACAGCCCGACCCCGTGACGGGCGCCCGCTCCGTCGAGTCATGGAAACTGGTATTAAACTACTTTGAAATTTCAATAACCAGGAATCATTTGTAACATCTATGGTATAGTTTATGTGGCTCAATAACAGTTATATATGTGCAGAATGCAAAGTAAAAAAATAAAATGCGCCTTCACTGAAAATCACATCTTCTTCATTTGAACCTAGATGGTTCACGAGAAGTACAGGAAATTGAACATCACTAATGAAGGCTTAATATTTGTGCACTGCTGGAGTGCTTCTGGGTGATTATATTTTAACAAAAGTTAATGGCCAAGTAATGGAAATAATGAGCTGAAGTGAAAATCCAATATGCGTTTGATGAGCAGAACATCGGGAGTGAAAGCATGCCCCAGGAGAACTCCCGCGGGATGGTTCGCATCCTAGCACCCCGAAGCTTGTTAGGTTTAGAACGAAGATGCACATGACGGATAAAGAAAACTAAAGGGGTGGGTGCTGTTGATCACTGAAAGTGATGGGGCAAAACCCAGAGATGCCTCAAAAGAAAAAAAAGTAGAGTGAAAGAAATTTTTCAAAACTTCTGTCTTTGAAAAAGAAAAATACTAGATGGGCTCACTCCTAGCAGGAACATTAAGGACCGGGGGGTGGGGTGGGGAATAAAAATAATGAACAACTACATACCGGAGACATTTTACGGGGGTGGAGTGGGGGTGGGGTCCAAAATGGGGGTGTGTGAGTGGACTGTGGTGATGGCGCAGGTCTGGGAAGCCCATGGGGATCACAACTGAGACGGAAGCGGCACAAAATGATGAAAAAATAAACTATAATAATAGTAATAGTGATACATCGCCCCTTGTTGTCTCACTCTGCATAGTCACCTGCCGTGCAGAGCCCGTGATGCTCAGCATGGAACAAATAAGCAGCCACCTCCCTGTCAGAAACCGTCCCGAAGACACTGAACTAGGTTGGTGTGGCCGATGAGGATGCCAGGCCCTGGAATAATGGCACGTGGAGGTCGGGGGCACCGAGGGAACACGATGCCAAGTGAGGAAGAGAGATTAATGAGCCACAGACGTATCGCTCCAAGACGCGACAAGGCTGCCCTAGCACCGAACAATAACCTGAATCTCAAGCATCTTCCCCTGCAACTCCTGGAGCGGCAAAGAGGGGGGGCAAAATGTTCAGGGACTGAACCCAGTAGGCAGATTCAAGGCTGCAGTGAAGCCATCCTCTCCCCACCTCGCCACCATCAGCAGCTTCACTGTGGTCACAGGTGAGGGTCACTGGCCATGCCAGTCAGGGTAACTCACATACGAAGTTTCATCCAACCCTTTGAATATTTCAGTTACACAAGTAAGAAAATAAATTACACGATTTGTTGATGTCCCTTAGCTAGCTACAGGACAAGCAAGCCACCAGCTCCTATTTGCACACTGGTCACAGCGTGGCTCAAAATCTCAGAAGTGCTCTGTGAACAGGAAATGCTACCGACGTAAAAGCAGTCGTCATTGGCCGCAGTGGGGTTACACAGAGCAGCAGTGCACACTGGCCATTCTGTGACGTAACACCTCATATATGGTTCACACTGGCCATTCTGTGACGTAACGCCTCATATATGGTTCACACTGGCCATTCTGTGACGTAAACGCCTCATTTATGGTTCACACTGGCCATTCTGTGACGTAA